CAGAAGCTAGCGATGGCGAAGATGAGGAGATGGTGATGGACTCAATGAGTAGGATTATATGATAGTATAGGAGGACAGTATGTATGCTCTTCGCTTGGATTGGATTGGATGTATGGTGTCTTAAATAGTGTGGATTATCTAAGGACAACAGCCACCAACTACAACGCAATCAGACTTCTTACTGGTGCAAACTCTGAGTGATCAGACTTTTTTTTTAACAGACTCTGAAATTTCAGTTTTTTTTTGTACTGAGTCTGATTGATCAGACTAAAAATGTGTACTAAGTCTGACGAATCACACAGCCCAAAAACGAATCTGAGGGCCTGCAACCATGCCTCGCATACACCATGTTGGAGTTGAAGCGTGACATATGCAAGAACGCTATCGATAATCCTGATATTAGTGACCATGAGCTTACTCGATGGTGCTTCCGTCGGTACGGCCTTGTGCCTGACCGATCCACCATCAGCAAAATCATCAAACAATGTGATTGTTGGAAGCGTAACAGCGCAACTGAACATCTCGTGGTTCACATAAGGCACAGAATGTACCTCCCTTTAAAGGAATTTGTGAAGCAGTGGATTTGACAGACTGGACCAGCGAGAATTTCGTTAAAAGTTGCAACGATCAAGAAGAAAGCTCAAACCTCGTGCTCATTCTCGGTCTCCCTTCGTCGTTCCGTGCCTGTGTGGGATTGGTGCTCGAGTGCATGAAGCGTATGGGTTTTTTATGCTTGATGCAGAAAGGTAAGGCTGCGAGCGCCGACATAAATGCAATCAATTTAGGGGATGCAGCTTCGCCTGCTTCCTGCCGCACTGGGCGTCGCCCCTCGCGACATTTTCAACTTTAACGAGACTACGCTAATTTGAGCGTTCCAGCCGAGGAAGATATGGGCTGACGTAACTTCCATGGAATCGACTTACCGTAGCATTCATGAGCAACACCGACGACAGTCAGATGTTCAAGCCGCTCATTGTCTCGAAAGTCCCGCGACTTCCGCGAAATCAACTTCGACCTTACATCCTACGTCTACTGGCGACACGGCTGCAAAGAATGGATGACATATGAAATAACGACATTGCATTAACTCTGGCATTCTTTCGTGTGTGTAACGTGTATTCAACCCACCGTACTTAGTTGGTACAAATGAAAAGTCTCGGTACTCACTCAACCGTCATCTTTTCCCCCCCTTTCCCTATGCATTGCTGTCTCGGCGCAGGTCTTCACGACATTTAGTTAGGGGGTTGATGTGACGATGTTCGTGAAGACAGCCTGATTGCGCTGCTCCTCGACAACGCGAGAAGTGACAACCTGCATAATTCCCTATCACGGAAGGCATGTGTGGCCTGCGGACGAAGAAGATGAGCACCGTGCGGATCATTTACTTGTCAACCGCTCGACCAGGGGATAATCTCTGTGGCGAAGGCACGCTTCCGCATAAGTTGGGACAACCGTGGTGCGCCAGCACTTCTGCAGACCGTGAAGCCCAAGGCATAAGAGACGGTGATGTGGATCAGCGACTCGTGAACGAGCTTCGTTGCAGAGACTGTCCAACGCTACTGGGTGCACACCCTGCTGTTGCATCACCATAGGAATTCCACGCTCCCGTTGGCTAGCGCTCCGACTTTGGGCCCGGCAGGCATACAGGCGGAGGTGGACCTTCTCGACATCGTCATCCCGCAGCTCCACAGTGGCGAAGATGCGATGACTAGTCAATAGTTCATGAGTCTCGACGAGAATACTCTGATATGCGCCCTGGTGGGCCCCAATCCCTTGGCGACAAAGCCTCCCGTCCTGTGGACGCCGTGCAAATAGAGAGAGCCTCCCTTTGACATCCTGGGGACCAGCGAGGGCCGTGAGCTGCGACTGGTTGCATGCCACGCTCTCGACATTCTGATCATCTACGCGCGTGCAAAATGGATGAGTCCTCGAAATATGGTGCAGCTATTCGACTGGAAACCCGCGGTTCGAGTGCGCCTGGAGCGCGCCGCGCGCCGATCCTCAGCCTGAACCAACCGCCACCGACTCGCTCACCCACACGCGGTCCCAAATATGTGGACACTGCAGGATCATGTAAACGCGTTCTGCAGGCAATAGTTGTGATGGATGGGTATGCGAATCAGGCGGAATGGATGCGTTACTACGATGTGTAAGATGATTATATTTTGCTGGCGATAAGGTCACAAAGCAATTTTGAACGTTAATTTCTTATACAAATCCCACGTCTTTTTGTAGTTTGCTCATCACTTCAGAAATGTGTATGGCGTGTTCTAGAAGTTGCAGTGTCGGGGGACATATGGAAGTGATGGTTGAGAGTGTTGAGTCTGGACGATTCATTTTTGTTTGTGAAATTGTGCGTGTGTGATGCCATTGTATGTTGTGCTTGTGATTATTAAGAGCAGGCTGAAATGGAAATTTGATGTAACGTCGCAATTCAAGGTTGCCCAAATGTGCGACTTCATGAATTTACGGCAGAAGTGCCCAAACAAGACAACCGAACCTCTGCCACGACATGCATGCCTGCCAGATGTTCACGGTATAGTCCCAATTCGCCCCTAAGATTCACATTCACGATAGACGCACACCAAGACCCGGTGACAATAGAGTGAACAGGCTGTACTATGGTGTTATTAATTTCCATACATCAACGGACAACCGACGCCGCCCGGTCAGCTCGCTGCCGGAGAATAAAACAACAAACCCTTTGGGAAAAGGCATGCGATCAGGGGAGGCACCAACCCTAAACACCACGCCTCAAGGTGTGTAGGGTTGGTACCTCCCTCAGACGGCATGCCATCAAGAGGGTTCTAGTTATTTGCCTACCCAAACGACATCGCTAAGTCGGTCGACGATGCCCCCATATCGACATATCTTGGGAAATTCCCTGAAACATACAATATTATTCAGCTCTGTTTACAGAACCTAGCTAGAGAAATGAAAGGAGCGAAACGGTGGGGTGGTAAAGGAGAAGAGTGAGTATGCAGTGGAAAGATGGCACCAGACGTATTCCTGATTTTATAATGGAGACTTTCATTGTTTGCTTTTCCTTTGCTTTGCTTTTGTTCATATAATTTATTCCAAGTGCCGTAATACCGGTATGTAGGCCCTATATAGCAATTGGGAAGAGGAAAAGCTTCCATTCAAATTAACCCAGTAGTGCAGAGAGTTGCAGACGGTTGGCACGTGTGGCTCGCAGGGATCAGGTGGTGGGCTGAGAACGAGATCCGCTAATACTTCAGTGTATATGAAGTTCACAAAAAAAACAACCACAATCCTTTATATGGTACAAAATTATCAACGTCGCTGACATCAGGAATCGCAGCGAGCCTAAAGTACCTCTTTCATTTCTCCGACGAAGGCACCCCGGACTGAACACGGAGCTCCACCACTGTCGGCACTCGGTCGTAGAAGGCCCTCAGCTGGTGCATTAGAGGGGTGCTCAAGGGGTGACGCGTATGATAGACATGCATGGGGGGAAGCAGGTTGGAGAGCACTGCTTGCAGCCACCCGTGGTGCTTGTGCCGCCACTGCTACTTGGACGCACTGCAAAGGTGTGTTGACGAGAAAGGCCCCGCCCTCGCTTACGCAAAGCCGACTTCACTTTCTGGTGCCCAAGGTGTCCGGCTACATATGATGGACGACGCCGACCTGGAGAAGGAAGTCGACGAGATTGGTTCATAGATTTCGGCGGGACCACAACGAGGCCGCCCACAGCCAAGCCGACCATGGCAAATCAGACAAGGCCGACCACAACGAAAGGAAGTCGGCGGATGGCGCCGAGCCCCGGCAGTCAACGAAGATGATCATCAACTTGATACTGACCGACCAAGTACTTCGTCGGCGGCGTCGGCTGAGCAACATATTTCTGGTCGACCAACCATTACTGGTCAGCGAAGTTTTGCGTGTGCACGAACTTCGCCCCAGTCGGTTTTGGCGAAAGTCGATTGCATCATGTGCCCTACAACCTGGCACCTGCACAATGTGCATCACGTATACGACATGCACGCAACCGTTTGTTGATAATACCTGCACCTACTTGGTAGGTGATGCACATGTGCGCACATGTTCACCTGCAACTGCAGCGTTGGTAGGCCGACTTGGTGCAACCGTGGCAAGCCGCCTTGCTGCAGTGTTGGCACGCTGCCTTCGTGCTGCGTTCGACAATTGCCTTGCTAGGATTCTAGGTGTGTTGCAGTGCATTCTTGCTATATCGACTTTGCCATGCCATTGTACTCTTGTTGTTCCAAATTTTCTTAATGAAACTCTTGTCAACTTTGCCTACAAACTTGCATGTATGTACTCTTGTATGTACTCTACCCCTTGTAGAGTGTCTCTCCGCAAGGCGCACCCAAAGTAGGGAGGGCGGAGAGAAGAGGCATGAGCGACGATATGTCGTGTTGCCTTTACTCGTGGTTCAAGGGCATGGGAAAGGGGTGAATGAGGGAAGGAAGGGTAACCAAGCCCGACCTCCTTCCCTCTTGCTTATGGTGCCATACCCATACCCACCGACACACATATGGACAGCATACAAACACGGATACCACACACACATGGTTGCTTAGAGGCACTGGAGAGTCGCAGTGGGAGTAATGCAGCAGATCAATGAGCATGCAAGCAACAGAGCATGCTACATATCACCTGAGCATGCAACAGATTACTTGACCATGAAATGAAGCACCTGAGCATGCAACAGATTACTTGAGCATGCAAAGAAGCACTTGAGCATGCAACGGATCACCTGAAAATGCAACAGAGCACCTGGACAGCACAGCAGGGCACCACACAACGCCACAAGAAAGCTAACAAGCATCGAGATCAGCAACTGAGAGCAGCTTAAAAAAATAGGTGGAGGAGTGAGGTCAGAGGCACAAGAGAGACGAGACAGATGCGCGTGCACGACATAGAACTAAGTGGCCATTCATAAACCATCCCCATGCTCCCCCATCCCCCCCATGCTCCCAATGCTCCCCCATGCCCCCCCATCCTCTCCCACGCTCCCAATGCGTCCCCATGCTCCTAATGCACCCCCGTACTCCCAATCCTCCCCCATGCCCCCCCATGCTCCCCCATGGTCCCAATGCTTCCCCATGCTCCTAATGCACCCCCATGCTCCCAATGCTCCCCCATGCCCCCCCATGATCCGTCATGCTCCCAGTGCTTCCCCATGCTCTCAATACACCTCCATGCTCCCAATGTTCCCCCATGCTCCCACCACCCATCATATCACCTTGTGCCCGGTACCACTCACATGCACCTCAGGGCAATACCCGCACACCATCACAGGTACTTCCCCATTAGCCTCCGCACGCCATCTCTCACATCCTCCCACTCCCTCAACGCCTCCTCTGCCACCTCCCTTGGACCCCCCTCTTTCTCCGCTGCTCCTTCCTCACCCTCTTCTTCCTCTGCCACCTTTCCCTTCCTTTTCCTCTCCTTCTCTGCCTCTGAATCGTTTCTCCTCTCCAACCCTCTCCCAATCCTGGCCCCATTACCCTCCTCCTCCTTTCTTCCTATCCTGCCCTCCTCCATTCCCCTCTCTAGCACCCCTCCCCTCGCCCCATCTTGCCCTTAAACCCCTCATCCTGCCCATTCGTCTTCATACTCGATTGTGACTTAACACTGTTAGGTATAGGAATGTTCAATCCATTATTTCATATCCATTATTTCATTGTAACAGACTGCATATTCAACATCTGTCAAACTCTGTCAACCCTTGTCAGAGTGATCATAAAACGACGGAAGTGACTTTAACAAGGAAATTCAAAGGTCTATATATGGTTACAAGGGAATGCGAAACGACCTAGCTACCCATGTACCTGGTAGTGTATCACAATACGCGGCGACTTGCATTGCAGCAAGGGAGGAGATGATGCACGGACGAGGCGCTTGGTCGTTAAATTGAGTCGTATAGACTAGAAGGTAACAAGGGGGCCAGCAAACATGAAAAGAGAATGTCGATCCCCTCGGCTGCTACATATACATTCTAAAACATCTTGTACACGTATAGTGTACTGTACACACTTTGAATATACAAAACACTTTTTTAATACATATACGTACACTACATGTATACATACATCCGCGGTCGTAACTGTTGCTAGGAGGGTACGGATGTTAAAGCAAACACCACCCCCCTTCATCCCCTTTATGGAGGCTAGAAGGCTATCCCTATGTCTTCCCATATCGCTTTGAAATCTGCCCTCCACGTCATCGAGGCCTCCGTAACGTACAGCATGCGCATGACTTTTGCCTCGTCAGCAACCACGTGGCTCCATTCTCCTGTACGCTTCACTCCGCTGCTGTTGATCGCCTGTTTACGAGCTCGGTTGTAAATCTTCACGTGCCTTGTGAAACTGACCGCAATGCGCCTCAGGGCCCTCTTTGGCTGAAAGCGGCTGCCTTAGAAAATCGCGTTGCACCTTTCCAGCCAGACTTGGTGCACAGTGGTTGAAATGATTGCCACCTCCGGGAAACCGGACGACGTGCAGCTTTCCTGGAAGAGGATGTCGCCGAGGAACTCCACTGTTCTACTGGGGTTCATCCGCTGTACCGCATCTTTCATCATCCCGACCACTGGTTGTATGGCTGGGCAGCTGAAGAGACAGTGATTCTGTGACTCCGTTCCACCGTAGTGTATACACCGCGCCCTCGCTCCAAGGAAAGGCAGCCTCTCGCCCACCTGGATATTGTTACTGGCTCTGTTCTGTAGGCACATGCTGTGGGAGGGAGGAGGGGGGACGCAGGTAAATGACGTGGGTTCCAACGCAGTTTCCCTTGTCGATATCACCCCCACCCCGCTACAACCGAAAGCGGGAAATTTCGTCAGCAAGGGCGGAAGGTGCTGACGGCAGATGACGAATTTACATGCTCAAGTTCGCGCCCCATTGGCAGGGGCATACCAAACTGCGCAAAACGAAGAACGAGGGTATGAATTTGCGCCAGGGTGTTCATAACTGGAAAAGTAGGGTATGAATTTTCCCTTCGTGCAAGATGGTGGTTGGAGTGATTTTTTTTTTTTTTCAAGCGGGGTCTGCGGCTCTGCTTGGGTTAAGCGCAGCAGAATGCGGGTTATTTCGGATAGTAGGTTGGTGTCCCCACCCCCAGCACCTCTGTCCCCTGGCCGCCGCCCTGCCTCGAAAAGGGGGTTTCGCAGGGCAAGGAGAGGGCCGGGATGTTTGCCCGAGACGGAAGGTGGGGAGAGGAAGTTGGGTGCTGTTAACGGGAGAGGAGTGTTGGCCCCGCCCTCGCTTGGGCAACACTGACGACTTGGTCGGATGTACGAGAGAAGCAGCCGACTGTTCACAGTGGGAGAGCTGCTCGACGGGCTTCGTCGAGCTGCAGGGGACCGTTGTGGTGTTGCTGTCGAACAGGGAGCTCGACAGCTGCAGCTGACTGGGCTGGGCGACGGGTGGGTCGTCGACCAGGAGGAGCAGTTTGACGGGGAGGTCGACGGAGCAGTTCGTCAACCTGACATGTGAGCAGCGGTCGACGAGGGGAGCTTAGCGACATCAGCTGACAGTTCTGGTCGACTGAGGGGTCCGTCGACCAAGGGGTAGCTCGACAGGAGCTGTGGTCAACCAGGGGCACTTGGTGGTCGACCATAGGCACCTGGTGGTCGACCAGAGACACTTGGTGGTCGACCAGAGCACCTGGTGGTGTCCAGGTTGACCGGGTAACCTGCTCGACGAGTTCTGCGGAGGCACGCGAACGTCGTCGAGGTCGCGATGGCGAAGGCGACTTCGGGCTGGTATCCCGAAGTCGATGTGGCTCGTCAGGCGCAGACAACAGCCGACGGATGCACAACGAGGCGAGTCGGGCCAATCGTCTGCGTGCACCTGCGAGCGTGCGCACTGCTGTCTTCTACGGGGCAACGCTGGACAGTCGCTCTGCTGCAACGTTGGCACGCCGTCGACCTGCTATGTTGGCAGGTCGCCTTTCTGCTGTGCTGGCGTGGCTCCTCTACGCAACGCTGGTAGGTGGTCGACCAAGCTGTGCTGGCGGTCGACCAGGCTAGCTGCAGAGTTGCTAGGTGCCTGATGTAGTCATTTTTGTCATTGCTTGTTCAACCATTCTTGAATGCAATCTTTGCCTAGTGAAACTCTTGCCAATTTCTCCCGTAAATGTGCAAGCGCTAAGGAACTAAGCAAAGCTACGATCACTCCTAATAGTTCGTGCCAATCCCCCCCCCGTAGTCTAGCTCACTACCGTTGTAGAGTGGCTCTCCGCAGGTGCTTCCCTGGAGCCTAAACCCACGAGGGTAATGGCTGTTCTGTCGCCATTTCCCTTCGAACAGGTCGAACAGGTTTGAAAGGGAAATGGCTGGCTCGGTACCATTTTCCGGGCGGATCGCCCTTCGAACCCAAAAAACGCAGTGGGGGGAAGCACCCTACTTCCCCTCGCCCCCCCCCACCGCTAGATCCCACAGAACAGAGCCACTATGTGCCCGTAGCACCACTTCACGTGCCCTGCTTGGGGTTGCAAGGGATTCACGGACTGTGATGGCTTTTTTCCAATCGACCCTCCTGGCCACCGCCTCTTCCCACTACAGCTGCTGCTTCAGCTGGGACGTTGGGGGTTTCTGTACACGTGCTACGGGGTACTTTACTGTTCAAGGGTATTTTACCATAAACAGTCCCCCAACCCAATCCCAACCTTGGGATTTCCTTGATTTCCTTATGCCACGTGGCACTCTAGCTTTCTTGCATCCCAATTCCTAGTCCCACAAACCGCTTTCCAACATTCGCCGTTGCATGCTATTTAAATATTGCTTGTATTCGCCAATATCCAATTCTCATTCAACCATTACTCAGTAACTTCTTCGCCTATTTCGCTAATAGTTCTTTCACCAAAGTCTTCCGCCGCTTTTTATCCTCGACTTAGTCGACCCCGCTATTCTTTAGGGGATTTAGGTCAAGGGGCCTAAGAGCGTGTAACATTTTTCTCTTTCTGACCGTCCAGACGGCTCGCCGTACGGACTTTTTTAGGGTTATCTAGTTCCAGGGCCCTCGCTAGCCTCTGAACCCCCCATGAGGCATCAGACGGGCCCTTCGGGCCCGTCTCTGCATCAGAAATGTTTCATTCCCCTGTCTTACGCATCAGAAGCTCTAGCATTACTTGTCTTACAAATAAGATATTGCAAAAACTCCCTACTGAAACTACAACAGCTACTACAACTCTAGTCTACATAGAAAAGATCAAAGGAATGACTACCTAACTTCCTGAGTCAGAGCCAGCTGCATCATTGTCACTCAGTGCAACAGTCACACGTACATCCACTCCTTCATCCCCACTGTCGCTAATTACAACAGGCGTTTTGGCTTTCTTCCTCCTCCTGGCTTCACCACCGTTATCAGCCGACGCCTTCTCAGCTGCAATGTCAAGTGCTGGAGCCTCTTCTGTCTCTGCCTCCCTGCGCTTCGCCTTTGCCACTCCACTGCCTTCTTTGGCAGGGCGCATTTTCTTTGTTGCGCGCCATACCTTCACCATGTCGTCCCAGTCAGGTTCGTACTGGAGCAGGGAGATGCACATGAGGTCCGCGAGTCGCGCATCGCACAGGTTGCTCCTGAGCCACGACTTGATGACGTTCTGGCGACTGAAGCCACGCTCGCACTCCACGTGCTGAGCGGAAGAACGGCCACAGCCACCCAAAGTCGAACTAGATTGGGAAAAGATGACTCCCAATCTCCGCTCCGCAGCATGTTCTTCAGGGCCACGTGGAACGCTTGGTCCTTGTATCGCGACACCATGACTCGGGTGAAACGTGGAAGCTCCCGCTCGGCCTTTTTCCAGTTGACTCCTGCAAGCACACACAGCAGACATGGTTAGCATCCCAGCGTTGTAGATTCTTCAGTTGGCACAAACAAGGGAGTAGAAATAACGCGGATAAGTGGGAACAAACCGTACCTGGCAGAGCACACTTGTCGGCGTTGAACATCTTGCGGAGGGAGCTGAACCACTCCGCGCACAGACGGTCGCGCTTGGCCACGCCCTCCGGGTAGGCGTCTGGTAGAAATAGCTTGGACCCCACGGGGGAGTTCAAGCTCCGCATGCGATACAGAAGCCTGCCGATCACCTCCTTCGCAAACAAGGTGGCGTGTGTCACGCAGGATTCAACATCGCCTGTAGGATCTTCTTTCTCTTGTGCAGCTTGAAGTGGTGGGAAACGGCGTTGCCGTCTCCATCCATCCTCTCCACCTTGATCAGCCGCTTTGACGGATGAGTGTGCGCTTCGAGGAAGGCACTTAGGTGCTCGTTGTCCTCCGTGAATTTCACACTGTACTCCACATAGCGCGCCTTCAGCTTCCCGCAGGTGTTTTACACCTGCCCCATGACTCGAGTGATGTCCACCTGTGACATCATGAACACGAACTATGTTAGTAGGATTTTTTTTTTTGTGTTTTTTTTTTTTTTTGGTGGACATAAGTACACTACATGTATACATACATCCGCAGTCGTAACTGTTGCTAGGAGGGCATGCATGGGTCACGGAGTAACCAACCCCCCTTGTCCATTTACGGAGGTCGAAAAGCTACACCGCCATCTTGGCAGATTGCCTTGAATCCTGCCCTCCAC